TGATACCCACTAGGATGGCTAAAATAAAAAAAGACAAGCTGGGAATAGTGGCACACACACCTGTAGTCCTGGCTACTTAAAGAGGCTGAGGCAGAAGAATTCTAAGTTCCAGGCCAGCCTCGGCAAAATATCCAGACACAGTCCCCCTGCACCCCCCCCCCCAAAAAAAAATCTACAAGTGTTGCTGACGATGTGGAGAAATCAGAATGCTTATATAAGATATATAAAGTTGACACAGCCACTTTGTCACACTTTGTAAAGTGTCTGACACTTCCTCAAAAGGTTAATACATAACAAACATAACAAACATGATAAATAAATCACATGATTCAGCAAATACACTACCAGGTATCTTCCCAAGAGAAATAAAAATATCCATAAAAACTTGTACATAAATGTTCACTGCAGCATTATTCATAAAACAAAAGGTAGAAAGAAATCCAAAATATTAAGCTAATGAAGTCCATTACAGGAGACCACATCATACGATTCTGTTTGTATGAAATGACCAAAAAAGATCTATTTTCTATAGAAACAGAAAGTAAATTAGTACCTTATAGATACAGGGGCAAGGAAGGGTAGGGGTTAGGGAAAACATGCAGTATTACTAATGGGAATAGATATTTTTTAATAGGGTGGTTAAAATATTAACCACCAGTTGTAAAAACAGTTGTAAAAACTCATTGAATATACAAAAACCGCACTGAACTATATACTGTTTTTTATTTCTTTGCAGTAGTAGGAATTGAACCCAGGGCTTAGCACATAGTAGGCAAGTGCTCTACCATTGAGCTACATCCCTAAGTCCTGTATACTTTACTTATTCATTTATTTGGTGCCAGAGATCAAACCCAGAGCCCTACATATGCTAGCATGCACTATTCCACTGAGCTATATAACTACAGCCCCTAAACTGTATGAATTACAATGTGTAAATTATATCACAATAATGATATTTCTCAATTAAAAAAAAAAAGATAAGCCATCAAGTTGTGTAAAGAGTTCAATACTGAGATCACAGACTTGGCTTTGAAGTCCATGAGTAATATGCCTAACCTTTAAGTTTCAGTTTCCTCAAATATATACACAGGGAAGGAATGTCCACTTCCCTATAGAGGAATGTGAGAATAATATTTAATAATAAAGTAGTAAGATGCTATAAAAATATTTTATTCCTTATTTTTTTCCATGGAGTAAAGTCACATCTCTTTACAACATCAAATTATAGTTCCCTGCCCTTCAGTAGATGAATGGATAGGGAAACTTTGGTATATATACACAATGGAACATTACTCAGCATTAAAAGAGAATAAAATCATGGCATTTGCAGGTATATGGATGAAGTTAGAGAATATAATGCTAAGTGAAGCAAGTCAATTCCAAAAAAACCAAAGGCCGAATTTTTCTTTGATATGAGGATGCTGACACACATAGAGACTGGGGGCGGGGGACGAAGCATGGGAGGAATGGAGGAACTTTAGATAGGGCAAAGGGGAGGGAGGATAAAGAAGGGGACAAAGGGGTAGAAATGATGGTGGAATGAGTTAGACATCATTACCCTAAGTACATGTATGAGACACAAATGGTGTGAAAATACTTTGTGTACAATCAGTGTCTTGAAAAAGTGTGCTCTATATGTATAATATGAAATGAATTGCTTTCTGCCATCATGCATAACAAATCAGGTTAAAAAATAAATAAATAAATTATATATATATATATGTATGTATGTGGCTCCCAGGCCAACATCATCAGCATCACTGAGGCATTTATCAAAAATACACTGTCTTGGGCTGGGGATGTGGCTCAAGCGGTAGCGCGCTCGCCTGGCATGTGTGCGGCCCGGGTTCGATCCTCAGCACCACATACCAACAAAGATGTTGTGTCCGCCGAKAACTAAAAAATAAATATTAAAAATTCTTTCTTTCTCTCTCTCTCCCCTCTCTCACTCTCTCTTTAAAAAAAAAAATACACTGTCTTCTTTTGAGAAGTGTCTGTTTAATTCAAAAGAGTAGCTTGAAAATTTTTTCTCCCATTCTGTATGTTCTCTCTTCCCCTTTTTTCTTTTTTTTTTTTTTCTTTTTGTGTTACTAGGGATTGAACACAGGGCCTTGCACTTGGTAGACAAGTGCTCTACCACTGAGTTACGTCCTCAGTCCTCACATTCTTGTTACCTTGGCTGTGCAGAAGCTCCTGAGCTCTAGGAGTCCTAGTGAGAAAGCCAGTGTTTATGACTGTAAGCTGGTGTGTTGACCCTGAGTTTTATTCTAGGAGTTGCATAGTTTTTGGTCTAATTTCTAGGTCTTTGAGCCATTTTCAGTTGATTTTTGTGCAGTGAACCCAGGGTCTTAATCATGGTAAGTACACACTGTATAACTGAGCTATAACTCCCAGCCCCAATATCATTTTGTTTTGTTCTGGCTATTTTAAGTATTAAACTAATATTTTATTTAAAGGAAAATAAGATGGGTCAGTATTTTGGATTTCCAAATTCCATCTCCTAAATAGTAATTGAAAAAATTACTGGCTATGCACAGTGGTGCACAACTGTAATCCCAGATGCTTAAGCAACATAGCAAGACCCCCTTCTAAAAAAGAAGAAGAAAAAGAACCAACAGAAAAGAAAGATAATAAATTACATTTCTATTTCCACATTTTCCTAAAGCTACACCGGTCTAGTATCCAGTAATTACACGTATCCAACAATCACTCAAAATGTGACTAGTCAAATTACAATATGCTCCAACTGAAAAACACATACCACATTTGAAAGACGTGTACAATAAAAGAACTCATTAATAGTATTGTATTAATTACATATTAAATGATTATAATAAATGTTAATGTTGTTTTAGAATTAATGTCACTCCCCTCTTCTCCTACAAAAGGCCACTTGGTTGAAATATAGCTCATTACTAGAATAAGTGCTTTATTATCCTGATTGAGGCCCTGGGTTCAATCCACAATGTTTCAAAACAAAAAGCAGGGGGCTGTGCCTCAGTGGTAGATGGCTTACCTCACACATGTAAGGCTGTAAGGCACTGAGTTCGATCCTCAACACCAGATAAAAATAAATGAATAAATAAAGATATTGTGTCCATCTACAACTAAAAAAAGGGGGACTACTAAAACATATGGAATAAAGCACTCGGCTCATATCATGTTTTGAGCCCCACTGAGGAAGGACCACTGAGAATCGTGCTCAATGTGCCACAAAATTCTGAATCACAGCACCTGTACTCCAAACCCATCTATAACTTTTAACAATTATTCAGCAAAACCTTAGAAATCTTGGTAGGATTTTACTGCTCACATAATGTTCTTCTGCAGGTCGTCTTTACCAAAATATTAGACACTTATCAAACTTTTGATTATTTATCAAACGAACTTAAAACCATGGTTGGGAAGAGATTTAAATGTGGTAAAAGACAGAATATAAAGGTCCAGAAAAGAGCAATACATGGCCCACTAATCCTAAGTGATGATCAGGATCCAAAAGTGCCAGTAAGTAAGTAGCTGATTTAAGTGCTACTTTTGGCTGCAAACCTTATGTTTGCATAATACACCATATATTATGAACACTGCCGCCTCAAGGCAAGTGCCAGAATCACTTTCCCAACCTCTCCCACAGCTGAAGTGTAGGCATGTGACCAAGGCTTCCCAAATTAGACACACAGCATGAAATCTGGACATGGGCAGCAGGAACCAAGGACTGAATTTTCTGGTGAAAGTGGGAGGATGTGGCAAAATGCAGCAGGATGACCTAAGTCCCAGCAAAGACTGTAGTGTGAAGACCTGTGCCCAAAAATGGGGCTGAAAATCTCTACCAAAGCAGGCTAGCAATGTGACCCAGATCTAGTTACTGGTTGGATAGCCTTCAATGTCTATTCTCTGGCTTTCTCATAAATCCTTTGAATTACCTTCTATTCTTTAGTGAATGGTTTTTTTAGTAAACTTGGAGGAGTTACAGTGGTCCTTCAGATCATCTCATAACTAAAAACCTGAATGGAGAGGCTGGGGTTGTGGCTCAGTGGTAGAGTGCTTGCCTAGCACATGTGAGGCCCTGGGTTTGATCCTCAGCTCCACATAAAAATAAGTAAATAAAATAAAGGGATTATTTATAAATAAACAAAAGATATTGTGTCCAACTACAACCAAAAAATAAATATATATATATAAAAAAAAAAAGATGCTCACACTGTTTGAACTTCATGTATTTACCCAGGGGAGGGGATATTCACAGAGGATACTACAGATTCCAACTGATCTGTGACACTGCATGTCTAAAAATAAAAAAGAAGAGGGATAATGCTGGGATGACAATGACAAGGAATGAAAAACACACTAAAGCCTTCAAATTTCACTTCCAGCAACAAAAAGACCAAGTGCTGAGAAGTGCCTTTTTTCCAAAGTATTCTTCATTTAGCAAACTCTAGCAAGGCTAGACTGACCAACCAGCCTTATGTGAATGCTCAGTTCTTTCCCTGTGGAAGGGCAGAGGAGAAACAAGCAATTCTATGGGTGCCAAGGAAACCAAACCTTGGCATTCATCATCAGGTATTTCCTCTGGCACACTTACTTCTTTTGGATGCTTTAAGAAGCTCTGAAAAACAAGTTTCAAGTGAAACTCCTTCACTTAACGCAGAAAGACCTAACAGTAACAAAGAAGTTGGCACTCCCCCAATATTATCCACACTTAAATGGGAGTTCTTAGCTGGGAGTACAGCTCAGTGGTAAAGCACTACCTATGACACATGAGGTCCTAGGTTAAGTCCCCAGTAATGTAGGATTTTTTGTGTGTGAGTGTATGTGGTGCTGGGGATTGAACCCAGGGCCTGGTACATGCAAAGCACTCACTCTACCAACTGAGCTATATCCCCAGCCCTGGAAAAAAAATTTTTTTTTTTTCAAATATTCCTTAGTACTCCACTCTCCAACTCAATTACTATTTGGGGTTTTACTATTACTGTTCAAGGACCACTACATTCTACATGCTAAAAACCAGGGTGAAGGCAGGCATGGTGATTCACATCTATAATCCTAGCAACTAAGGAGGCTGAGCCCAGAGGATCCCAAGTTCAAAGCCAGCCTGGGCAATTTAAAGACTATATCTCAATATTAAAAAAGGGTTGGGAATGTAGCTCAGTGATACAGCACCCCTAGGTTCAATCCCCAATAACAATGGAAAAAACAAAATTAAAAAATAGGGTGATATCAACTGTTTTTTTTTTTTTTTTGAGGTACTGGGGATTGCAGCCAGGTGCATGCTAGGCAAGTGCTCTACCCCTGAGCCACAACCCCAGCCCCCAAACTGGTTTTGAAACTCAACCATCTGCTAAACATCCTCCCCAATCAAGATGTATTATCTATCTCATTCTTCTGGCCATAAAGGACAATACAATACAATTGTACCCTTTGTATTTTTTATTTTGAGAAAGAGTCTCACTAAGTTGCTTGGGGCCTTGCTAAATTGCTGATAATGATCTTGAACTTGTGACCCTCCTGCCTCAGCTTCCCGAGTTGCTGGGATTATAGATGTGCACCATCGTATCTGGCTTGCATTTTAAATGTTATGAAAATGAAAGACTAGGGCTGGGGATGTGGCTCAAGCAATAGCGCGCTCGCCTGGCATGTGTGCGGCCCGGGTTCGATCCTCAGCACCACATACCAACAAAGATGTTGTGTCCACCGAGAACTAAAAAATAAATATTAAAAATTCTTTCTTTCTCTCTCTCTCTCTCCTCTCTCTCTCTTTAAAAAAAAAAAAAGAAAATGAAAGACTAAATTAAAAATGGTCAGCTAGACTTAACTACCCATTTGTTCAAGAAAGCTTGGCTAAAAAGTCTTATTTTTTAGGACTGGGGATGGAACCCAGGGTGTTTTACCCCTGACTTTTACCCCAAGACCTTCTTATTTTTTTTATTTTGAGGGGATCTTGCTAAATTGCTGAGAGTCTCACTAAACTGCCAACTTCTGATCCCCTTGCCTCACACTCCCAGCCAAAACATCATTTAGCACTTTACCACTGACGTACTTCTCCAGACTATGTTTTTGCTTGTTTGTTTTGGTATCCAGGATTGAACCCAGGGATGCTTAACCACTGAGTGATATCCCCAGCCCTTTTTTTCTATTTTATTTAGAGTCAGGGTCTCACTAAGTTGCTTAGAGCCTTGCTAAGTTGCTAAGGCTCACTTTGAACTCTCAATACTCCCGCCTCAGCCTCCAGAGCCACTTGGATTATAGGCATGGGCTATCATGCCCAGCTTTTTTACATTTGAGATAGGAAATCATTAAATTTCCCAAATGGCCTTGAACTTGAAATCCTCTTACCTTGGCTTCCCAAATAGCTGGGATTACATGCAAACACCACTGATCCTAGATAATCTTAACCATTTTATATACGGGACTTAAAAATCCAGAATTTGGTATCTGCAAGGAATCCTAGAATCAATCTCCCATGGACACTGATGAATGACTGTACGAATGTGTATATGTATTCTTTAAAATCTTTGGTCAAGGGCTGGGATTGTGGTTCAGTGGTAAAGCACTTACCTAGCATGTATGAGGCTCTGGGTTTGATCCTCAGCACCAAATAAAAATAAATAAATAAAGGTATTGTGTCCATCTATGACTTTAAAAAAACCTTTGGTCAAGTTGGGCACAGTGGTACATACATATAACCCCAGTAACTTGGAAGGTTAAGGCAGGAGGATCATAAGTTGAAGGCCAGCCTCAGAAACTGAGAAAGATACTGTCTCAAAATAAAAAACATCCAGGATGTAGCTCAGAGGTAATGTGCCCCTGGGTTAAATTCTCAGTACAAAAAAACAAAAAATAAAAAGTTTCAGAGATTCCCCCCAAATAATCTCTTGACCTCTGTACAGACATATTCCTACTAATTAAAACCTTAACAATAGCAGGCTCTAGCCTGCAATCCCAGCAGCTCGAGAGGCTGAGGCAGGAGGGTTGCAAGTTCAAAGCCAGCCTCAGCAAAAGTGAGGCGCTAAGCAATTCAATGAGACCCTGTCTCTAAATAAAATACAAAAAGGGCTGTAGATGTAACTCTGTGGTTGAGTGCCCCTGAGTTTCACTCCCAGTACAAAAAAAAAAGAAAAAAGTTTTAACAGCAAATAGTATATTTAACATGCTGTACATTTCTCTTTTACCTGAACCTGCTGTGGCTGCTGAACCTGGATCTGCTGCTCTGGCTGTGTTTGTGGCTGAACACTGGTGGTGACTGGACAAGCAAGTTCAAGCAAAGACCCAGCCACTTCAGTGCTGTCTGTGTAAATGCAGTTCCCACCCTGTTGGTACACCATGGTAGTAGTGGCTGTCTGCTGGAACTCCTGAAGGGCTTCTGGACCCTTAGAGGCCAGTGAGTCCAGAAATTCCTTCATCCTGTGTTGTGGGACAGACCGTGCCTTCACTCGAATATACTCTTCAAAGGAGATGGTGTTCTCCAGAGAATTATTCATATTGCAGAGTCCTTAGGGTTCCTAAAAATAAAGGAGCAGAAGTCAAATTATGCTATTACTTTTATATCTTAAAGTGTATAGAAGCAATCAGCCTGGTATCAGAGTAGAAAATTCTGGAATCCAAAGTAAAGTTTTATTATACCACCTTACTTTTACAGTGGACTGTGTTTGAAAACACTTTTTAACATTTCTTAAACGAGCTGTATCACACTGAAAACAGAAAATAAAAGCATGCTTCACAGTACTGAATGAAACAGGCTGAAAACACATTCCCCATCCAGCACTAGGCCAGTCCCATCTTCTCTGCAGAGCCAAGCACTGGACAGTAAATGTCACATGCAAAAACTGTTCTCTGACCATCACAGAGAGTACAAACAGACAAAAAGAAAAGAGATAGGAGCAGAGATTCCGTATGACATATTATTTCTGTTCCCAAGTATGTCCTTCACTGGAGAGACAGGTATGCCACCTAGCTGTGGAGAGAACCAAGAGACAGGGGTACATGTTCTTCATCTCTCATCAGAAACACACAAAAAAATCTCATTTTGTCATAGACTGCTTACATTCTTTTGTAGAAAGACTTAAGAGGATGAACTCTGAAATCAATATACTTGAGTTCAAATCTCAACTTGATCTCAACTGTATAACTCTAGACAAATCAATGAATTTTAGTTTGTTTATAAAATAGGAATAAAACAGTACTTACCTCTGAGTTCATGAGGATTAAATATAAGAAGCACTTAGAAAAGTACCTGAGACAAACAAGCAACACTATGAAAGTATTAACTAATTTTATTAAAATAATTGTGGGGAGAGAATTGAATAGTACTTGAAATAATTAGGTCACTACTAAAATTCAAAAGTCAATTCTGCAGATTTTTCATTAGGTATTTATTTATTTAAGAACTGATATGCAGAGATTGACAGTAACTCAATTACCTTGGAACAATCAGGCAAACTAAGAATACTGAGTGACCTGCAGCTTCCACCTTTGCACCACCCTCCTTTGACCAATACTACCTCCAGAACAAAAGCAGAAATGGATGAAAGAGTAATAAAAACCAAGTGAAGCTTCTTGACAAAAAGAACATTCAATCTCAAATGTCTGGAAACGTGATTTATTTCTTTAAGCAATCATGCTACAAATATTAGTCTTTTTTGCTATGCAGGTGCTCTGCATTATGTTACAGATTTCAGGTATGTAGAAAACCATCTCTTTTCTTAAACTGGTTTTTAACTGGCAGACAAGACTGCTCTAGTCATCTCTAAATAGCTCACACATGGAAGGTCCTTCTTCTAAACCTGTTGCACTTGGAATTCAATATGGAACAGGAAAATTATAATTCCTTCTTCCTGTAACATCTATAACTTACAACCACAAATCATACAATCTAGTTATATATAAACACTAGGGAAAAGGCATATACTACTTTTCCCTAGTAAATAGTTAATATACTATATATATATATATATATTTTTTTTTACTATATTTATATGAAAAAACTATACATCCAGATTCAAGAGGGAATGCAAAGAAATATGTATTTACTGCTATTAAATTACCGATGCTGGCATTATTTCTGTGTGATACTATATATTAATACATAAATTTATATTTGGGTACTTTCAAACAGAACAGATCAGCAATGAATCTTAACTATGCATACAATGTATTATGAATATATTTCTCCAAAAATAAAGAACATATTTTTTTCTTAACCTATCTGAAATCAAAATTTCCAGACCATTACCCTTAGGAGGGTCCCTACTTCTCAGGAAACCCCAAGCACAATTGACTGCAGAGAACAACTACTACATGTCACCGAGGTGTAAGGTGAAACCCTTGCTGATAGCCTCTTCTCTTCTGAAACAACACTCATTTGCCACTTTTCCACTACTTTTTTGACCACTTCCCTAAGTCCAGCTTTCCTTTCTCCCTGCTGCAGGGGCTTTCAGTTATCTTGTTTCAAAATAGAAAATTAAATCTACTATGAGACTTCAAAACAACATTATCAATGATGTCCACAGCACATACAAAAAGACTCAAGGCCAAGCACACTGTCCTTCCAATAGATTCAGAGAAGGCTACTCATTGTGGGTGACCCACAAGTACTCACTCTACAAATCAGTAAGGAATGTGTTAAAGTTTTCCTTTGTTCAATAGCCTCAAGGCTGGATTTCCTTAAGGTATCTCTTACAATAAAGACCCAATTCACAAGGGGATCTGTATATAATCATATATACCCCACTGCTCAAAAGTGGTCAAGGGAGAGGTTATGTGAGAAGCTTTTACTGGGTCCTCTACAATGCCAGTGCATTTCAGTTTTTCACCTTCATTATAAAACAACAGCTAGGTCAGGTACACACTTCCCAGATACTCAGGAAAAGCACTTAGGAGTTCCAGGACAGCCTGGGCAATTCAGTGAGACCCTATTTCAAAATAAAAAGGGCTGGGGATGTAGCTCAGTATTCCTCAGTACTGGGGGGAAAAAGAAAATTAGCAGGGCTAGTGATATTGCTTAGTGGTGGAGCACTTGGATCCCAGAACTTCAAATAAAAGTTAAAAAAAAAAAAAAAAGAACAGAACAGCTGCAGGCATAGAAACGCCTGACTGTAATGTCAGGGATTCAGGAGGCTAAGACAAGATGATCACAAGTTTGAGGCCAGTCTCAAAAACTTAGTGAGATTTTGTCTCAAAATAATAAATAAAAAAGGGCTGGAGATGTGGCTCTGTGGTAAAGTGCCTCTGGGTTCAGGGTTCAATCGTTAGTACCAAAACAAACAAACAAAACAAACCAGCAAAGGTCAACTGGAACTTAAATTTCCTAAATTTATTTTCTTCAACATGTAGTTGAACTAGGAATGTGGTACAGCACTTGCCTGGCAAGAGTAAGGCTCTGGGTTCAATCCCCAGTACTGCCAAAAAATAAAAATTGCTTTGTCACAGTAGCTATGATTCTAGTACAGGCAATTTTGAAAATTCAAGCAATCTCAAGTTGGGTTGTTGTTGTTGTTGTTGTTGTTTTTGGTCCTGTTTGCTTTTGAACCTAAGGCCTTGTCCATGTGAGGCAAGCACACTGTCACTGAGCTACATCCCCAGTCATTTATTTTATTTTGAAATAGGTATCCCTAAGTTGCAAAGGCTGGTCTCAAACTTGTGATCTTCCTGCATCAGTCTCCTATGCTGCTAGTATTTTAGAGTAGCTGGAATTACAGGTGTGTTCCATTAGGCTTAGCCGTCAAATCAATTTTTAAAAAAGCAAAGACAGTCATGCAAGAAATTCTTTTTTTGTCAGCAATCTGGGAGATAATACAAGTAAACACCCATTCAAAGAAATACTTAAAGTTACAGAGCTGGAAAACTTTCATATTAAGAATTGCCCAGTAGGGGCTGGGGTTGTGGCTCAGCAGCAGAGCACTGACCTCACAWGTGTGAGACCATGGGTTTGATCCTCAGCACCACATAAAAATAAATAAACAAAATAAAAATATTGTAGCCCATGTATAGCTAAAAAAATACAAAAAAATGAAAAAAAAATAATTAAAAAAGAATTGCCCAGTAAAGCCAGTCTCTAGGTTAAAAGGTTTTATTTCCCCTCACTCAAATTTCAGAAGTTCAGGTAGGACAGATTAAGCTTCATCTCAGGTCTGATATTAAGTATGAAGAATTTTACCACCATTTCTTCCTAGATACAAACTTCTTTCAATATTCAATTTAGAATTCCACCTAGTTTTTTATTATTTTGTTTCTTAATTTTTGAGATTTTTTTGGAGAGGGCAGTGATGTGAAGCCATAAAATGTAAAGTAAAAACAGCTAAAAATATGCTTTGACCTCTGGTTTTTGATCTACCAGTCTTAAATATTTATCAATTGTCCAGGAGAGTTTAAGGCATTTAAATCATCCTACTCTCATGATAAACCTCTGCCAATCACATTACTTCTTTTTTTTTTAATATTTATTTATTTTTTTTAGTTATTGGCGGACACATCATCTTTGTTGGTATGTGCTGCTGAGGATCGAACCCCGGCCGCACGCATGCCAGGCGAGCGCGCTACCGCTTGAGCCACATTCCCAGCCCACATTACTTCTTTTTTTAATAATTTTTTAGTTGTAGATGGACACAATACCTTTACTTGTTTATTTTTATGTGGTGCCGGGGATCAAACCCAGTGCCTCATTCATGCTAGGCAAGTACTCTACTACTAAGCAACAATCCTAGCCCTTACTTTCTTTTTTTCGTTTTATAATAATAAGGATATTGAAGCCCAGAGACACTTCACCATTAAGCTAGATTCCCCAGTCTTTTTTTTTTTGAGACAATCTTGCATGTTGGCCTGGAACTTTCAATCCTCCTTCCTCAACCTCTGTAGTTGTTGGGATTACAGGCATGAGCCACCACCTCTCCTTTATTAATTTTTAAAAATTTTTTATTTTATTTTATTTATATGATTTGAACTCAGTGCCTCACATGCTAGGCAAGCACTGGATCACTGAGCTACATACAACCCCATTTATTAATTTTTACAACTCCTATTTATTAATTTTTAAAATGTGGCACCTTGTACATGACAAAGCACATGCTTTACCACGAGCCATACCCTAGACCCCTTTGCTCTCTCACAAGCAATTAGCTTAGTATAGTTTCTATTTAATAAACCTTTTAAATAAGAGCATTTCATGCCACAATAAACTAGAGCATTTTTTAAAAATATATATTTATTTAGTTGCACTTGGACACAATACCTTTATTTTATTTATTTATTTTTATGTGGTACTGAGGATCGAACCCAGGGCCTTACACATGCGAGGTGAGTGCTCTACCGCTGAGCCACAACCCCAGCCTAGAGCATTTTTTTAAACCAACGTTCCAAGACAGTAAAAACCATTTGGCCCATGCCATCTCCAAACAAATGCTTCCTATCAGGATTTCTAGAATAGTACATTCAAAAGAATTACTACAAGAAAGTCTAATCCAAATATAAATTTATTCCCTGAGCAAAAGAGCAAACAAATTGGATATTAAGTTCTCAGAAAGAACTGAGCAAAAGCTTCAAAAAATAGATGCTTATAAAGAAGCAAAATGTATTCTTTAGGGCTGTGTGTATAGCTCAATAGTAAAGCACTTGCCTAGCATATATGAAGCCCTGGGCTGGATCCCCAGCACAAAAATAAAATGAAAGTAATTCCTTAAAATTTTCATCAAAAGGGCTGGGGTTGCAGCTGGGTGCGGTGGTGCATGTCTATTGTAATCCCAGTGGCTCAGAAGGCTGAGGCAGGAGGATTTTGAATTCAAAGCCAGCCTCAGCAATGGCAAGGCACTAAGCAACTCAGTGAGACCCTGTCTCTAAATAAAATACAAAATAGGGCAGGGGATGTGATTCAGTAGTTGACTGCCCCTGAGTTCAATCCCCAGTATCAAAAAGGGGGGATGGTGGTGGTGGCTGGGATTAAAGTACAATGGTAGAGCGCTTGTGAAGCATGTGTGAAGCACTAGGTTCCATCCTCAATACCACATAAAACTAAATAAAAATAAAAGTACTGTGTCCATCAACACACACACACACAGTTTTTTTTTTTTTTTTTTTTATCAAAAAATAAAAAGACCACTGGGCATGGTGGTCCATGCCTGTAATCTTGGCTCGGAAGGCTGAGGCAGGAGGATCACAAGTTGAAAGCCAGCTTCAGCAAAAGGGAGGTGCTAAGCAACTCAGTGAGACCTTGTCTCTAAATACAATACAAAATAGGGTTGGGGATGTGGCTCAGTACTCGAGTGCCCCTGAGTTCAATCCCTAGCACCCAAAAAATAAGAATAAAAATTTTAAAAATAAAAAATAAATAGACCAACAAGGTTTTTCTTTCAAAATATTTTTTAGATGTAGATGGACACAATACCGTTATTTATTCGTTTACTTTTACATAGTGCTCAGGATCAAACCCACTGCGTCACACATGCCAGGCAAGCATTCCTGCACTGAGCTACAACCCCAGCCCCCAATAAGGTTTAAGTAGAAAAAAAAAAAATTATATAACTGTTAGAAAATGCAAATACACAGGTATTTATCATATTCTTCTCTATTCTTAGAAATGTTTGATGTATTCTATAATAGGGCTGAGGTTGTAGCTTAGTAGTAGAGTGCCTAGCATGTGGGAGGCATTGGGTTCAATTTTCAGTACCACATATAAATGAATATATAAAGGTCCATTCAACAACTAAAACCACTTTTTTAAAAATTCTATAATGCTTCATGTTTTGTTAATCACTGGTCATGTATTTAAAGTGTTTTAGACCACAGAGTATAAAACTCTCTGCTGTGCTCCAATGGTAGGTGGGGCTTGAAGCAGAAGTCTCTGCTTCTCAAATGCTATTTTCTGTAAAATTCCACAGAATTATTTGAGAATCACTGAATCAGAAGACAGTAAGAGATTTTAACAAATAATGGATTCAATGAAGAATTTAAGAATTTTTAATGGAAAAGACAAATTTGAAGGAACATAATAAATCTGTTCATTTTTACAGACTAAATCGTTTCTGGTTTCCTTTCTTGTCCTTTCAATTTGCCCTCTTGAAGTATCCACCAGACTTACCCATCCCAATAATAAAAATAAAACCTCATCAAGTTAACATTTGACCTGACACATGCTGACAAGTACATACTGCTTAGAATAATTAAAGCTTCAGAAACATATTCAAAAGTCCTCGCCAGCCAGGTGTGGTGGCGCACACYTGTAATTCCAGAAGCTCGGGAGGCTGAGACAGGAGGATTGTGAGTTCAAAGCCAGCATCAACAATGGCTGAGGTGCTAAGCAACTGTTAAGACCTGTCTCTAAAATAAAATACAAAATAAGGCTGGGGATGTGGCTCAGTGGTTGAGTCCCCCTGAGTTCAATCCCCAATACCACCCCCCAAAAAATAAAAGTCTTCTCCAAAAAAAGAAAAAAAGCCCTCTCTACCCATAAGATCAGATTATCATTTTATCTATAATATTTGTTTTCAGCATACTTTTTGTAATATGGAATACTTCATGAATTTATGTGTCATCCTTGCTTGGGGCCATGCTAATCTTCTCTGTACTATTCCAATTTTAATTTATGTGCTGCCAAAGCAAGCACTTTTTTTCTTTGGTAGTACTGGGAATCAAACCAGGGCCTTATACATGTTAAGCCTGTGTTCTACGTCTGAGCTGCATCTCTAGTCCCTCACAACATGTTTTATTAAAATATTCTGGTCCATTTAGAAGTTAATTTTGCATGATGTGACCTAATAATTTGTCTCTGTACCACTTATTTTTTCACATTTCTTAAATTGGTGCATTATAGTTATACATAATAGTGGGATTTGTTATTCCATATTCGCACATGCAAACAATAAACAATATAACAATATAATTTGATCAATAATATTCCCCAGTATTTCTACTTTCCCTCTCAGTACCACTTATTGAATTATTGAAATTCCTTTGCCTATTCCCCAGTATTTCTACTTTCCCTCTCTGTGCCACTTATTGAATTATTGAAATCTCTTTGCCTGACAAATTGAAACATCAATGTTATTATATAACTAATTCATATGAATAAGAACTGCTTCTTTTTGTGATTCCACTGACCTTTCTACCATCTGATTAGCTTTAAAAAAAAAAAAAAAGGGCTTATTGGACTGGGGTTGTGGCTCAGCAGTAGTACCCCCGCCTAGCATGTCCGAGGCCCTGGGTTCAATCCTCAGCACCACATAAAAATAAATAAATAAAATAAAGGTATTGTGTCCAACTAAAAAATAAATATTAAAAAAAAAAAAGCATATTAACATGGGGTCATGGAATTTCTTGCCCAGAACGTTTTGGGATTTTCAAATACTTAATGACACTGAGACACATGTGTAAAAAAGCAGTCAACACAGTTTTATTACTATATCCCAGTATTGTTTAATCATACATTAGAAAAAAAAAACTGTCAAAATATATCAGAATATTAACAGTAGTTATGCCCAGCTGATAGAATAACAGGATTTAAGTTACTTCCTGTTAAATACTCTGTTCTCTTCACAAGTTGTATTAAGTCAAAAAAGTAACTAAAGTCATCCTTTTCTACACAGTGATCAGACTGCAATAACAGTAACAGATATGAAGACAATTCTTGTAGATGGCAATATAATTTTCCCTCAATATCTGAAAACAAACAAAACCATCTAGCACCAAAAACTTACATAAGATTGTTAACTTCTTCAAGATGATACTCACAATACACAAAGGCTGAGCCTTAGAAATAAAGAGAAGCTTGAGAATACTACCCTCCATAACCCCAAAGAGACAAAAGATTCTTAATTAGCTCCAAGTCAAAGACTTGGTGAGCAGAAAGAAATTAATTAAAATCTGTGAGGATCTTTGAGCACTCCCAATTTCTGTGAGCCAAATGAAAAAAAAAAAAGAAAATACACTAGGACTAATGGAGGGTATAGAGTCTATAAACAAGTATTTGCTTCTAAATACTTGAAGTAGAGCTGCTTTCAGAACAATAAAGACAAATTAGTCCCTCATCAACAGATCCACATTTTCACTGCTAAGTACAAACAGATCATTGGTACAGACCCGGTATTTGCTCCTGTGGAGCTCAGTACAGTGTGCAGAACAGTCCCTCAACACATAAGCTATTATTTTATAACTAGAAAAAACGATGGCACCATGGAAAACATTACTCTAAAACAATAATCATTTCCATAGGATTGGGGTTTTTTGTTTTTCTTTTTTTTTTTCTATTTAGGTATTAAGGGAAGATCTAGGTACTCAGCAGAATCACCCCCTCTTGGGTCACTTCCAGACTCTCTATACAGCTCTGTTGAATAGGTCTTGAATTTGTGACGGGCTAAGATAATCTGAGCTGCCTCAGAGAGTCCTGCCTCTTCCTTGGGCCTCAATCCCCTCTTAAGGATTCCATCTACTCTAGCAATGGCTCCTCATAGTTTACTTAAGTCTGATTTGAAGACTACATTCATAAGAAAAAATTAATTTCCATTTTGAGGAGTTACAGTCATACTTGTCATAATTAACATAAGGAATTAACACATGCCAGACAAATGCTTTACCACTTAGTCACGTTCCCAGTCTCTCCCTACATATCTTTTCTTAAAGATACTAACCTACTACAAGGTTTGTGATAGAAATTACAGAAATTATCCCACTGGGCCACTCATCTGACCCATGCCGTTATAGGAATCTCTAATTTGGGGGCATTTTCACCATGTTTCTATTCTGGGACAACACATACTTTCAACCAGAAACTTAAAATTCATATTCCTACCAAATACTGATAGGCTGTCAAGTGGCACAAACACCTGCATTAGCTAGTGAAGTTAAAATATCCATTTCATAACACCAAGCAATCCTGCCCCTAGGTATATATGACACACTCATTTGTGTAAAAGATACTTATACAGGAAATGTTCATAGAAATTTTGTTAGCCAAAAACTGGAGGCAATTCAGATGTTTATCAACAGTGGAACAAATAAAATTATGGTTTATTCATATAACAGAATATAATATTGAAAAGGGAATCAACTACAGCTGCAAACATGGACAAATTTGAAAAGTATAATGGTACAAGGAGGTGACAATAATGAAGCATGATTCCACTTATATTTTAAAAACCAAATATTATGTTTAGGAATTGTAAAATGAAAAAGAAACAATGGGATTATCACACAAGTCAGAATAGTAATTGTCTCTAAGTACTGAGAAACTGTGACCAGGAAGGGACACCATAAAGGTTTCAGAGGTTTTGGCATTGTTCTATTTCTTAGAGAAGTAATTATATTGGAGTTCACTCCATAATTTCTCTCTCATTAAATTGTGCACAGATCATATCTGTACATATAATGTATACAAATAAATATTTCATAATTGTCTTAAAAAGGAAAGCGTCAGCTTTCTGCCACAATTCATCAGCCCTACCTACATTTTGCCCTGACGTAAACACTGACCCAAAGACCATTCCTTTTCCCCTTTCAGCAAAGCAAAAAAATTAATGTGTCAATTTTTCATGCAGTCACTTCAGTTTAATAACAGAAATCACAATGGGGAGGGGGGAGCTTGATGGTTGAGTATGTGTTAGACATGCGCTAGGCCCTGGCCTATCCAGAAAAAAACAAACAACAACAACAACAAAAATCACAATCCAATAGGACAGGTGAAAAAAAAAACACAAAGGAAGCATTTAAGTCAAGCCTGAAGAGGACTTAGAACAACTGGAACAAAATTCGGGGCAACAAAGTAACAGAAAAGAACAGGTGTTCACATAACATCTCATTCTGAGGGCAATTCAGAAATAAAAGACCCTCACAAATAAAAGGTGGTCATTTAAAAAGCAGACAAGCAAGAAGCATGAGAACATCAAAAATAAACTACAGCTGATCAAATTAAAAGAAAACATGCAAGCTTAAAGGAAGACATCCCTAAATTTTGAAGCTTCCATAAAGGAGGTCATCCATACCCAAAGCCTCTCACTATGGTCATTTTATTGGAACAATTCAAACTTTAAAAAATTCAACTCTATTTCATCTTTTGTTGAAATGGCAACATGAACTGAAAAGGAGATGTGGAACTGTAGAATTTCATGGATACACAAACAATTCATCACAGAGGACAAGATGATATCTAATAAGAAAATCTCAGTTGATGAGATAATGGAAACATTATTTACAAACAGCAATTTAAAAGATCTCTACCGAGATCAAAACAAATATGATCCAAAAGGAGGTGACAATAATGACAAGAAGGTGACAATAATGAAGTATAAAAAAAACAATAAAACAAATTTAAAAAACAATAAAACAGTATAACAAAAAAACAAGTATAATAAAATTATAAGTATGTCCTAGATAAACTGTGTTTTTTTGTTTTGTTTTGCATTTAGGACGTTAATTAATGCTTTGCTATGCTAAGGTTGCAATAACACTTATATTTTAAGAGAACAATGTTCAAGCAACAAACTGTGGCTGGTTTTAAAGATGTAGCAGTCTCCCACATCTTCAGTTTTCCAGCACTTAGCAGATTCTGGCAGACAGTACCCAGAATGACTGACAGGATTGTAATGTTTCAATAATAGCAGGAAAAAACTATGCACACATACTTCTAGCATATGAACAATTTTAACTCACCAGTCACCATGTTGCATGTATTTCTGCTGCTTGTCCTGAGTTCTTAAGACTTCTAACATTCTGAAGAAGACAGAACAAAGAAGTTCCTTCCATCCTCAGCCTCTTTTTAAGTTTTAACTTTGTTCTTAAAAAAATACAGTGTATTAGAAAAAACTACCATTATCAAATTTGATTGCTAATTTATTCCTCAGCTTCCTTTTCTTCAATTTTAATGATTTGAGAATGTAAAATTAACTGGCAGCTATTCTGTCTTTATTTCTTTTGGACAAACCTAGAACTCCCTTGCACCAGAAAACAGTGCTGGAGTAAGGGGAAAAAATTAAAGGATTTAAGTCATTCGACTTCTACAGTGATACTTGGACAGATTTCTGCTGGGGAAATGGGGGGCGGGGGAGGGTGGCGCGGAGCATTGTTTTTTAGGTTGTTCAATTTGTTCTAGGTAACTTCTTGGCTGAAGTAAGGCCGGCCCTTAGACTAAAGTAAGCCCCTCCCACCCACGCGGAAGAAGAAGAAGAAGAAGAAAAAAAGACAGCATTTAAAGATTTAAAGTGACATTTTAGAGCTCAGAGTTTTCATATCGTCCACATACGAGCATTCCCTTCCCGAGCGCACAGAGGTGACGTGTATGAATTGCGCTTATGGAAAAACTGGTTTCTAATGAAACGAAACAGGTAGTACAGAAGGGCCTTGAAATGTTAACCTTCCCTCCCCGGCACAAAGCCCCAGTACAAGCTGAGGAAACCCAAGGGGGCTCATTGCCCTCTCGGGGCAACAAGATTCGTTTTTTTGAAGCAAAGCAACACCCTCCACAGGCACCCACCCTGCACATGGGCCTAGGGTAACCGCGTTCTTTGAGGACAACCAGCTATCTCGCCAGCCTCGCGGAGAAGCGGAGCCGCAAGACACACAGCAAAGCCGCTAGATTTCTCCGCAGACATAGGTCACGGTTGTCCAGGGACGTCACCAGAGCAAGAAAGGCTAAACCCTCAACCTTCCCCAAACAACCAGCCGTCTGCCCACAACCCCCCAGCTCAGAAGAGGCGTCCTGCGCGCTCTCGAATCGGCACCGCCACCCAACAGCAGGGCGCGCGCCCCAAAACTGAGGGTCGCGGGCGCGCGCCCCGGAAGCAACTCTTGCCCATGGGCCACAGCTCTGGGAGCAGAAATATCCAGGACGGGAACGCGCACGTCGGCGGCCACGCGCACTAGGAGGGCCGCACAGCGCGCGCGCCCCCGCACGTAAAAATAGGCTGGGGTGCGCGCCCGCGCACCGCGCCCACCCGAATCCCCGGCCCGCCCCTCCCCCACCCTCGGGGCGGGGGCAAGCGAGCCCAGGGACGTTCTCAGCTCCGGAGCCGCCCCGAAGTCTCCTGGGCCCTGCGGTAAAGGCCCAGCCGCCCCCGCCCGCCGTTGTGTGGGGTGGGCCCCCTGATCCAGGCCCGCAGCCTCGCCGCATCCCCGCCCCCATCAGAGCCCTCACCCGGCGACGTCACCGCCGCCGCTGTCTCCGCTCTACCCGCCGGCCCCGCCGCACCGCCCGGGGCCCCGGTTCTGCCGTCGCTGTTCCAAGACCGACAGGATTTTCTCCTCACAGCTCCCTGGGCGCCATCTTACATTCAACCTTTACAGCCAATGAGTGCCGAATGCCCCTCTCGCGAGAATCAGAGGATCGGATCCCGCGAGAACTAGGACTGCCTCCCGGCCAGACTTAAAGTGAACGCTTCAGACTAGGAGGCCGCTGGGCTCCAGGAGCTGAGAGCAGACCCCGAGGTGGGGGGCGGGGCGTCCCGCCCACGGACGCTTCTCCATGACGGGCGGAGCCATAGTCAGAGTTCAGCCTAGCCAGAGACGCTAGATGGGCTGGGACTTGAAGCTTGCTCATTGAACCCACCTTCTGCCGCCCGCTGGAACCTCCTTTGGTCTAGCAGCCCCACGTGGGGCGGAGCCCTACCCGTCTTGGCCTCTCACTTAAGGTGGCCTCCACAAACCTCTGACCTGGGCCCAGCGTCCCCAGCCGTACCCGGCTCAAGAAACTTATGGGTCATTTACATCCTAGAGGGCCCAGCATCCAGGACCCTTGCAATCCGCTGCCATCTCAGCTCCGCCTTCCGCACTCAAGTCCACCTTAAAGCGGGCCTCGGGTATCCTGGTGTTTGTATACAGGGAAAATGTGGAAGGCAGTTAAAGCTGCAGATACAGGTATTGCCAGCAGCCCCCATTACCCCAGAGGGCATCCAGCCTATTGTAATCCCTTATTGCCTCCAGAGCTTTGCACTTGTTCTCTTGTCCTGGCAAACTTACCATGGCCCCTCTAAGTTCCTCATAAAGTCATTTCCAGTCTGGATCAGAAACATCTTAGCACCTTTGCACTGGCTTAAGGAAATGGCTCACCCACCCTGTTTGGTCACCCACATTTCCCTTTTTCTAAATGAATTTTAAAGCTTTCGCAGCGTTTATGCCTCATTACTCTGTGCCTGGCACATACTGGATGCCCAATAATTATTTGCTGAATGATGGAAATAGGCCTCTCTCCATCTGCCTGGCACAGACATAAACCTACATCCCCTTTGGCACAGGGCTCCTAACTATGAAGCAGCACTTCCAGAACCCTCCAGTCCCTCAAAACAAGGTGCAGAGGATGTTAATTCCATCCAAGGCCCTGCCCTCCAGCACCAAGAAGTGCACCAATGATTTCAAAGCTGTCACAAGCCCAACCCCACCATCCACAGCATGTCTCCAGGGTAAAAGGGTTGACAACACAGACTCCAGTGGAATTTAGCTATTCTTTATTGACATAGAGTGTGGGGTGGTGAGGGCACCCCCTGCTTCCAGGAGGATGAGGTAGGTCCGCAGTACTTCCAGTTCACACCTTTCCTGGGTCCTCCTTTAGTGTGACTGTTCGGTTGAAGACAAGCTAGAGGACACAGGGAGAAGAATAACAACCAAGCCAGAACCAGGCCAGGAGACCTAGATAGGTTTCACCAGACAAAACCTCCCAAAACTCCCTCTTCATCCCAGAGGAGCTAAGGGACCCAGGGGGTCAGGAGACCCAGGTTCTCAATAACTTTATGACTTGGGGTAAGGAGTTGATGGCCCTGGACCTTAATTTCTTAAGGATAACAACCCCTATGCCTGCCACTACTTCAGAGTAAAAAAGGTAGGGTTCCTATAAGTTTGTGCATGGACTTAACCTCTGAGATTTCTCAGTAAGTGACAATTAACTAAGGCAATGTGGGCAGAATGCTTAATGCAACAAATGGCAGGGAACATTACTGGTACAGAAAGGGGCAGTTGGGTAAAGCAAAGTACCTGTCCTTTGCGGCTATCCGGATCCACAGAGAAGTACCCGAGGCGCTCAAACTGGAACTTGTCAAAGGGTTTTGCCAGGGCCACAGAACAATCCACTAATGCTGCCTCCACCACTTGTAGTGATGCCTGCAGTTAGGGAAGTCAAAAAGCTATCCAGTCACAGAGGCCCACCACCCTTGCACCCCAATCCATGATCCTACCGGGTTCAGATCACTTAAGAATCCACCTGGCACCTCAGCAGGATCTTCAGGGTTCTTGTGCTGGAATCTGTAGTCAAGAGTGAAGGTCAGACCCATATCTGGGCAGCCACAGCACACAATGCCCATCTTGTAACTGCACCCATCCCAGCTCTGTTCACTCACAGTCGATCATAAAGGCGAATTTCGCATATCAAAGGCTGTGAAACCCAGTGAATAAAAGCCTTGGGCTTCTCTCCAGCGTCAGCCTGTCTACAGGTCACCTCTAGGCTCTCCACACAGCCACTAGGATCCTGGAAGTGGGGAAGTTTGCAACCAAACCAGGGAATCACCACCAGGACTCTTGGCTAAACACAAATCCTGAACCCATCCTCTTACCTTGATAACATTCTGCAGCTCAATGACATAGCCTGTATGTCTCAGGCCCACAGGCTGGCCCCAAGCTAGACGCTTATAGCCTGGCTCTGGCTCCTAGAGATAGGAAGTGGGGTAAACACAAGAGATTGTAAGAATCAGACAAGAATAAGGCTCTCTTCCACCTGCATATCCAGCAGAGATTGGTTTATCTGAAGTAGGAAATGGATTAGGAGATGAAAGAGCCCCAAGGCAAGACAGCAGCAACAGGACCCTCTTCCCCACATTTAAGTCCCTCTATCCCCTATTCACCTCCTTGAAGTCAGTCCTCTCAATGAAGACTATGGGTGCAAAAGGAACCTGGTGGAAGCCCTTGGTTTCATCAGCTGGAAAGTTGGGCACCTGGATGTCCAAGGGCTACAGCAGAAGATAGGTATCTGAATCACATCAGGCAGTAGGACCCCCATACCTAGGCACATACCCAGCCACCTATATATACACACATACAACATGGAGGCAGGCCCACCTTGGCAGCAGGAAAGTTGGTAATGACAACCCGTAGTGACTCCAGCACAGCCATAGCCCGTGGAGCCGTATCGTTCAGCACATCACGTACACAGGCTTCAAGAAGATGTGGCTCCATTGTGGTCTGTGCTACTGTCACTCCCACCTGGCAGGAGAGTTCATCAGTTATAGCCACAACCTCAAATTACCACACTCAATCTCTATCTACCCACCTAGCCCACTGGGCTATACCCGAGCACAGAAGTTGTTGATGGCCTCAGGCGGAAAGCCCCTCCGTTGCAGAGCAGTCAGTGTGAAGAGTCGTGGGTCATCCCAGTCCCTGTGGATGAGGAGGTGGTGAGAAGGCCTTTGAAAGCACACATCATTAGTACCCATCCAAAAAGCCATACTTACCGCACAGCACCAGCTGCTACGAGCTGAAGGATCTTCCTCTTAGAGACAACAGCATAGTGCAGATTGAGACGGCCATACTCCCACTGCACAGGGCAATATACGTCCAGTGCATTGCACAGCCAGAAATAAGAAGAACGTCTAGGATAGAAGAGTAGGGTTAGAGCTGGCCACCTTTGGGACAATGGAGAAACCACAAGAAGGGCTGCTAGAATCCCACTGATCCCACCCACCCTACGGCCCCAGCTCCCTCACCGGGCCTGGAATTCCTTAGTGCAGAGTGAGTGGGTGATATGCTCAATGGAGTCACAGAGGCAGTGTGTGTAGTCATACGTGGGATAGATGCACCTATGGGGCATAGGCAGTGGGTTATACCATCTAGTCCCTCTGCTCTACCCCATTGCCCACTGGCCTGCTCCACAGCTCCATTGCACCATCCCATGTCCACACCTACCATTTGTCCCCTGTACGGTGGTGTGGTGTATACTTGACTCGATAGGCCACAGGGTCCATCTTGCCGTCTTCCATCACCAACTTCATACGCAGTGTAGCCTCTCCCTCTGAAAATTTACCCTTGCGCATTGCCTGAAGGAAACAAGGACTCAGGCTGCCTCTAAGCCTAGGGGCATCTCATTCTCAGCTTCTTGGCCCACCCAAGCTGCCCTTCCAGAAGCCCACCTCAAAGAGCAGCAGTGACTCCTCTAAGGGACGGTCTCTCCAGGGTGAGGGCAGAGGGTTGTGGCCTTTGAGCTCCTCCCCTCGCTGATGGCACACGTAAGCCTGACCCCTGTGGGGGAGGGGTATGAGTAGTACCCAGCAGGGCCATGATCTGGTCACTCTACCTGGCTCTACATTATGGTCATGGCCTCACCTGTGGATGAGCTCCACAGCCCAAGCATAGAGCTGGTCAAAATAGTCAGACGCATATGTCACCTTGTAAGGTGTATAACCTGGGGCAATATGAAACACAGTATGAGCAACCAGCAAGAAATATCCAATGGCAGGCCATGGCCTAAAAAGAAGTCCATTGACAACCAGCCCTGCCCACGCCTCACCCAGTCTATACCTAACCAGGCCACCATGTCACAGATAGCAGTGAAGAATTTTTCTTCCTCTTTCTCAGGATTGGTGTCATCAAAGCGCAGAAAACAGATACCATTGTTGGCCTAGGAGAGTCAGAATATCTGTGACCACCCACATAACTATCAAGCCCACACAAAACTCATAAGGGTCATAAAGGTCCTGAGGATTTGGCTCATAAAACTAGGAAATTCTCAGAGCTCTTTCATATCAGAATTAAAAATGCCTTCAATAACTTCTCTCATCTTCCTGCATCTAAACACTCCATAGGGCCAGGCGCAGAGGCGCATGCCTGTAATTCCAAATGGCCTGGGAGGCTAAGGCAGGAGAAATGTGAGTTCAAAGCCAGCCTCAGCAACTTAGCAAGGCCCAAAGCAACTTGGCAAGACCCTGTTTCAAAATAAAAAATAAAAAGAGCTAGGGATAGAGCCGGGCATAGTGGCACATGCCTGTAATCCTAGCAACTTGGGAGGCTGAGGCAGGAATGTCTCGAGTTCAAAGCCAGCCTTAGCAACAGCAAGGTGCTTAGCAATTCAGTGAGACCCTGTCTCTAAATAAAATACAAAATAGGGCTGGCGATGTGGCTCAGTGGTTGAGTGCCCCTGAGTTCAATCCCTTGGATCAAAACATAAATAAATAAATAAATAGATAGATAGATACACAGATATATCAATAGATAAATAAATAAATTTTTTTTTATTTTTTATTTAATAATAAATAAATTTTTAAAATAATAAATGCCCCAGAGAAGGCATCTCTTATACAAAGTTGGGGTAACAACATAATCTTTTCAGAATTTTTTCTCCAATATGTCCAGTAGGTTCCTATGTATTTGACATACATGTTGTTCCCCCATGGCCTCTGCCCACCCAGGCACATTGAGAACAAAAAGTAAGACAGGATCACCTTTCTGGTATTCAGTCATAGGAAGAGACAGAGGTTATCTTGCTTGCCAGGGCCCTTGACACATGCTCACCTTGGCATAGCCAAAGTTGAAATTGATTGCTTTGGCATGTCCAATATGCAGGATTCCATTGGGTTCTGGCGGGAACCGGGTACGTACCTGAGATAAGGGGGATGGGAGCAGAGGAATGAGGCYAAAGCTCAGACCTAAAAAAAAACATATGGTCCAGCTAGGTGTGACATGCACACCTTTAATCCCAGTGGCTCTGGAGGCTATGGCAGAAGAATTGCAAGTTCAGAACCAACCTCAGCAACTTAGCAAGGTTCTAAGCAACTGAATCAGATCCTGTCTCAAAGTAAAGTATAAAAAAAGGGCGGGGATATGGCTCAGTGGTTAAGTGCCCTTGGGTTCAATCCCTGGTATACGGAGGAAAAAAAAAAGAAAAGAAACATATGCCCCTTCCCATGGAAATGGATGAGATGAGGTAGTATGGAGGTACATCCAAGGAGATACTTGATGGCAGTAGCTTGCTTGGCCATATGCCTATACCTGCCCCCCAGTGATCTCCAGGTGCTGCCTCAGTAGATCCATGGTGTGTGGAGTGATCACATAGCCTGGGGTTTTGTAGTTTTCACCTGCCAAGACCAGAACAAACCTGAGGACCAAGCTGTAGCCCAACGATCCTGACCCTAGGGACCTGGCTACAGGAGTCATTGTCAAGAACTAGTCCCCCTCCCCCAACTCCAGGGTTTCAACATGCCCACTCACCAGGTTTATGGAACTTCAGGGCTTCACCCCGGAGCTGCTCCATCAGAGACAAGGTCTGTCCAGCAGCCTCAACTGCTGGTGAGAAGGAAGAAACCAAGAAAAATTCGTCCTTTGAATATAGCCTCCATTTTCAGCTCAGAGAGATTGATATCACTACCATCCTTATCCTGCAATCAGAACAGCTCTGAGCATGCCCTTCTTATTCAATTCCAGAGACATGATATAGAGAGTCAGACTTCTGAAGCCTCCTAAAACAGTCTCTGGAGAAAGGGAACAATGGAAACACCAGGAATCCCAGTTTTGAGGCAGAAGGCATGGTGTTGAATAAGCCAAAGTTGTGAGGAGCCTGGGCTGTAAGGACTATTCAGAGAGAATGCCCAGAAAAAAGAGAGCTAAATGTAACAGGATTCTAAAGTCTCTCACCATTCTCCACCACATCTTTTGCTGTCCTCTGTTCTGTTTCTTCCACACGAGCCTTAGCCACCTGAGAGAAGGACCAAAGCTGGGTCAGAATCTCTCCTGGGCAGAGGATAGTGATCAGACACTCCCTTCTCCAATTCGAGTCTCACTCTATCCTACTTTACCTCCAGGAACCTGGGCCATGCCCAGACTCACCTTGGGTTTCTTTTCTAGGTCAGCTTCCATCTTGGGACCCAGAAGGTGGAGGACCTGAGCAAAGACCAGAGTCAGGCAGGAACAAGAATATCCTTTTTCGGGGATCCCCTGAATGCCTCTATCCACCCACCCAAGGGCTTCCTAGTCTTTGTACCAGCACTGCCTGGAAGAATGTGGCTACCTAGCACAACCATCTCATCTCCTCATGTAGTTCTGAGGGCCTCCAACGCTTTCTTCTTCCTGAGGGTCCATAGAGGACCCAGATAACAAAGGCTTCCATTTATAGAGAAGAACTGTAGGCCCAGCATCAAGACAAGCAATCTACCTTAGCCATCATCCTCTTATGAATCTATGCCTACATCCTGACATGAAAGCCACATTACCCGTTTATGGGAAATTTAAGGGCAGATTAAAGTGATTCAACCCAAATTAGACATAGCCCAGAGACTCAGGTGCTACACCCTCCACAGTGGGATCCACTTAAGAATACTGACAGGCATCTCCTCCCCAATTTTATCCCTCAGTGGATTTCAGGCCATGTCCATGCCAGAGTCTTTGCCAGTTTCAGTTCAGGGAGGCGCCCACCTGCATGTCCACTTCGTGCTTGATCATTTTGCCATCTGCCCACTTAAGCGCAGCCCGAGCCTCTCCTAGGAGCATGGGCACAAGAAGCTACAGGAAGGTAAAAAAGGATATTCCTCCCCCTCCTCCCCAAGGAAAGGTCCTAGCTGACAATAAGAACCAAAGCCTGGGCCCAGCCAGAACACGGGTAAGGTGCTCCTATTTTCCCAACCCCCACTCATGCCCAGAAAAGGCATGACCAGAGAGAACAAAGTAACTCTTCTCCCCAGGCTCTGCTTACCCATCAGGAGCCCCATGTTGAACCGGTAACGCTCCACTAGAATCTGAGCCCGGTGTTTATTTATGGTGGCCTCCACCTAAAGAAATCCAAACCATATGGTTCAGGAAAGCCCCTTCTGAGACATTCTAAGAACCAACACCCTCACCTTGGGTCTTCCTGGTTAGAGAAACTGCATCACTCCTTTCCAGAGCCAGGACTGGGGAGGCAGCTGATGCCCTGGTAAAGACTTACAGCCTCCTCAATCTGCTCTGGGGTCACCATGACACCCACACCACATTCCTTCTCAAAGTCCATGGTGTCAATAGGGTCCAGGGGGTGACTCCGCACATATTCAAGGGCAGCTGAAAAAGGAAAGGCAATGAGTTTGTATCAACTCAGCTCCAAGAATTGAGTACACAGGGCTCTAACCCCAAGATACCTAGAACAATTTGGTCTCCTGAGAGGTTAAGCCCTGACACAACCCCAAAAGTCCTCAGGTACAAGGGAAGAAACATGTGTTCTGAGAAAGGCTCCTCATCATGACAGTTCCCCTATTAATCTCACTAGAGGCCATCCCCTCCATGCCCAATGTCTGTGCAGAAACAAACTCAGAAGACTAAGGCAGGAGGCTCACAAGTTTGAGGCCAGCCTGGGCAATTTTGCCATACATCTCAAAATAAAAAGGGTTAGGGATGTAGCTCAGTGGTAAAGCCCCGCACAGGTTTAATCCCCAGTACCAAAAAAAAAAAAAAAAAAAAAAAAAGCAACAAAACGAGAAAGAAACTGAGTAACCTGGCAAAAAGGGCAGATAGGATCTTGGATAAAAGGAGGGACTAGGGGTGGACCTGGTATTACAGGCAGGGGTCTCACCGCTCAGCTGAGGCTCAGTGTGGATCTTCTTACTGGCTATATAGCTCACGAGGAAAGAGAGACGCCTGGTATCCCTGAGTCGGGAAGCTAAGCCATATAGAAGGGTCCCGGTAGCCTTGTCGATGGTGGAGCCCAGAGTCTGCTGTGCCTGCGGTTAGAGGGATCAGGGGTAAAGCCCCACGACCAGTGAGAAAGACAATAAGACAATAAGAACCAAAGCCTGGGCCCAGCCAGAAAGGCAACAGCAGGACAGGGGGAACAGATTGGGATTTGTACCTTGCCCCAAACTGCTTTGGGGCACCACCCCCGCCAGGGGCAGAAGAGCGCGCACCTGAGTCGCCGCGTCGCGCAGCTGCGTGCTCAGAGTAGCGTTCTTGAGCGTCTCACGGGCCTTATGCTCGCTCAGGCCCAAGCCGGTGAAAAGCGCCAGAGAGTCTAGAGCCGCCATTGTAAGAACACCGGAAACCAAAAGAAACTTTGGGCCGAATCTGCACGTCGGCATCCTCCCATTGACCAATAAAAGAATGAAACCTATGAGGAGAGCCAATGGTGTCCTTTCTCGGTGGAGGGGGGCGGAACTTTCCAAGTTGTCGACGCCATTTAAGGGATAGAGAGCTGCCACACCAGCCTTTTCGGCCGCTTGGCTTCCATATCCTTGCTACAGGCCTCATGACAGGGTGGGGTCAGTAGAACTTTTAGATTTGCCTCAGGCCTGCAGGGAAAGTGTTAAATATTGAGGAAGGAGGAAAAAGCGGGCCTGACCTTTTGCTCTTTGACTTTTATCTTTCAGCCCTAGGAAGTGGTCCCAATATTGTTCTCGGGAAGCAAATGTGAGTTCCCGTCGCGTTTTTGACGTCACAGCTTTGAGGTTGTCATGGAAACGGTTGAGCAAAATTAATCACAGGAAATCCCGATCTAGACTGCATAGAAAAGAATGTGCAATACAGCCTATAGAGGAACCACACAAATCCAAAATTTAGGTGCCCACTGGGACTCACTTGGCCAGGAGAGGAAAAGGAAAGGTTTGGGCCTGGAGGGACCTCAGAAAATTTCTATGATCATTAATTTAAAATTTCGTGCCACACTGTTGCCAGAGCATGCAAATGTCAGGAAAATCAATYACAAGCAAGTTATGACTTCAAAATGCTTCTGCAGGACTTTTTTTAAGTTGTATACGGACACAATACCTTTATTTATTTTTATGAGGTACTGAGGATCAAACCCAGTGCCTCACACGTGCTAGGCAAATGCTCTATCAACTGAGCTACAACCCCAACTCATTCTGCAGGCCTTTGAGGTTGGGACAGGTGGGACAGAGGACATGGCATATTCATGGTTATGGCTTTTGTGCTTGGCTGTCTCCCCACATTATCACTGGTCTTCCAGGACCTTCTGTCTAAAACAACATATAAACTGTGTTCTTCCTGTAGAGGGTGGGTGATCCAGCTACTGATGATGTAAGGAAACCCCCAGATTTGGGACGAGAGCTCAGGCCTTTGGAGGCCTTGGTGTCACTCATATTGTATCTTCAAGAATTGGACAGTGTCCAGACGAAGCTGAAACCAAATCCTGTGACCTGCTTTGTGCTCATATACCACCAACGACCAGTTAGTTCCATGTCTGAACATGCATCTGGGTCCCACATAATAACCAGGTGCCAGGTTCTGCAGCATCAATATCCAGGTCCAATCCCATGTCCTGAGGCTTCTTACCTCCCTATGGCCCCATGGCCCCCATGTGATGCCTAGTGCACTGCACAATGAAGGCCAGGTACAGGAATTAAGTAGGAGACGTGGTTCCACTGCAGAACTACTGTCCAGGCTCAGATGGCGCCCCCTTCTTGGACCTGACAGTCTCTCTCTCTTTCCTGGATCAAGAGTGTGCCATATGATGATATGGGGTTAGCAGATGTGTTGGAGCAAGAGACTCCACAGCAAACTCTCACATCCTTTGGGGATGGCAGCATGCCTGGCAGGGAGCTGGCCACACATGGTACTGGGCACACATTGCCTGAGCTGCTGAGCTGTGCAGGGGCACACCTGGGTAGGGCATGGTGGCACATGCCTGAAATCTCAGTGACTGGAGGCTGAGGCAAGAGGATCTCAAGTTCAAGGTCAGCCTCAACAATTTTGCAAGGCCCTGACCCCATTAAGGGGGCCATCACCATACTTGCAGGACTTGGTGATGGTGGTAATTGTGCTGCATTGAATCCTTTGGTGGCATCAGAAGAAACTTAAACCCTAAAACCCTATCTCAAAAAACTAAAAAATAAAAAAAGGACTGGGGATATAGGTCAGTGGTTCCCCTGGATTCAATTCCCAGTACCAAAAAATATTAATAATAAATAAATAGCAGTTAGAAGCAGAGCCATAGCCATACCAGCACTGTGTGGCTATGCAGACCAGCAAGTCTGCAGCTGCAGGAGTCCAGTCCAGCACAAAGGTGCCCATTATGAGCAGAACCATGCACAGTGCCTACCACTGCCACTGTTCTCTTGGCACCTAATGCCATCAAAAAATTTTCAAGTAGCACAGCTACTACCATCGCCAAGGCCTGCAAGTCTACTGATGGCCCCCTCAGTCTATACTCCCTTGGTTTCCTCATTGTACCCTGTGGACCTTAAAGCTCCATGCAACAGGATCACATAGTAGCTCCACTGGTGCCACCAAGCATGTCATAAGTGGAAGTGGCATGGAATAGAGGATGTCTAGCCAGTCCTCTGGAACCATAATTTACACAAAGTAGAAATGCAAAAGTTCTATGGCCCCAGTCTGGAGGTTAGCCTGCCTGCAGGAACTTCTGGCCCTGTTTCCAGGAAAGCAAAAGAAAGAGAAAAGCCAGGCAGCAGCCGGCAAGGAACACTGGGGCATGGGGTAGGGCTCAGCAGCCAAGCCAATGAACAGGTCCCTCTGGCATAAGTGGATGGCATAGAAGCAGTAGAGGCCACAGTCCTTGTGGTCATAGCAGCCTCATGCAGTTTCCACAGAGGGGTTAGGTATCATGGGTTCAGCAGCAACAGGGTTACTAACATTAAAGCACAATCCTGTTGCAGCCCATGCCTACATAGCAGGCCCTCTAGCAGCATCACAGCTGATAATACCAGCAAACAAGTTAGCAGTTCCACCATCTCTGCAAGACCACAGCTCAAGGTCATCTCCACAGCCAGCAGCCCCACATGACCCTTAGGTTGTCCCCACTGAAAAAAAAAAAAAAAATTGGTCATGGGATTAGAACTCCCCAGGAGCTCCATCTACTCCCTGCCACCCAACTCCATTTGAACTCCAAGAACTACTAGCAAGGCTTGAATGCTGAACCACATGAAATTGGGAATGGGGATCAACCTACAGGGCTGCCAAGACACTGCCTAACCTCTTATTGCTGCTCCACTTCTCTAAATGCTCCTCAAACAATTGGAAAATAAAAGAGGCAGCATTATCAGGAGAAAAGTAGTTGTTTTGTGGCACTGGGGATTGAATCCAGAGCCTCATGCATGCAAGGCAAGCACTCTCCACCAGTTACATCCCCAGCCCCTTTTAACTTTGAGACAGAGCCTCATTAAAATGTTCAGGCTGGCAGGGCACAGTGGTACATGCCTATAATCCTAGCAACTTAGGAGGCTGAAACAGAAGAATCACAAGTTTGAGACCAACCTCAGCAAATTAGCGAGACCATGTCTCAAAAGGGGCTGGGGATGTGGCTTAGCGGTAAAACACCCCTGGGTTCAATCCCTAGTGCCAAGAAAAGTTACTCGGGCTGACTTCAGACTTACACTCCTCTAGCCTCTGCCTGATGGTATTACAGGGTGTGTGCCACCATGCCTGGCTGTAAGAAAGCATCTCACAAGGTGCATGTATAAAGCTGCATAGGCTGTGATGCTGAACAGACCTGCCAATCACTGTGGATGAATAGCTTGGGACAGTTGTCAGGAGCCAAGGTCTCAGGGGCTCTTAAGGGAAGAAACAGCTTGGAAAGATCCAGTATTCTCCCTCTAATATAAAGCCAGACAAGATTAGTTCTGGTCTTGTCCTTTTTTATTTTTTGGTAGCAGGGATTGGATCTAGAAGAGGTGCTTACCACTGAGCCACATCCCCAACCCTTTTTATTTATTTACTTACTTACTTTTGGTACTGGGGATTGAACTCGGGGACACTGGACCACTGAGTCATTTCCCCAGCCATATCCCTGAGTTAATTAGCACCTCACTTTTGCTAAGACTGGCTTTGAACTCACAATCCTCCTGCTCAGCCTCCCCAGCTGCTGGGATTACAGGCGTGCACCACTGTGCCCATCTTATTTTGAGACAGGGTCAAGCTGGCCTGGAACTTGCAATCCTTTTGCCTCAGCCTCCAGTTGTTGGAACTATAGGCATGTGACATGATGCCCAGCTCTGTCCTTTTTTTAGAACAGGATCTTCCTCACAGTAGTTTTCTTCCTGCTCTGTTCTCCCCAAGAGGAATACAGGTGGTTTTCAAACAACAAAGACTTGGAAACAGAAAAGATACCCACAGGACCTCCCAACCCCACACCAAGTCCTCCAGTGTCTCCAGCTTTCATACCATACTATTAGCACCAGAGGTTCACAGAGCACTTCTCTACTCCTCAGATGTATTGAGATCTTGATAGTGATGCCAATCAGTCATCTCCATATGGCACTCTGAACCAGTGTGATGACAAGGCAGCTGGCAGCTCCAGAGAGCTGATGACACTAGGGCTTCATGACCACAGGGAATGAGCTGTGGCTCCACCATCTCCTCTGACTAGAGTACTTTTAGGGTCTTCAATATACAGACACACATTAACATACCAGACGGAGAGGGAGGGAATACCATCCCACAAGATGTGGTGGATCAAAGTCACTAAGTCTGCTTATTTATTATTTATTTTTAAAATATATTTAAACAGCAGCAATCACTTCGAAAATGCAAAAAAAAAATTACAATTTTTAGAATAAAATTATAACGTTTATAATGCAGGTCAGGAAGAATTGAAGGTAAAACTGAGAATCAAATCACGCAGCACTGGAGGCAGCTGGAAAAGCCACAAGGCCCACTGGGGACCAAGCTGACAAGAGGTCACAACCTGTGAGGCCCCCACCCCAAAATCACACACCCCAACTCCCCACTGATGGAGCCAGTGTCCTCTGGGTTAGAGAAGGAGAAATGGCAAAGAGATGGCCACTGTACGGGATTCTCCCAAACCCAGTTCCCCCATCAGGCAGGGACCTGCTAATCGACCTCCTCCATGTTGCTGTAGGTGGGGGCTGGGCGGTCCACAGGGGGAACGAAGCGTTCAGGGGCTGTCCGCGTGGGGGCCACCTCGGGGGCCTGGCCAGGGCCTAGTCCCTGCAACAGAATATGAGGACAGGGGTTGGGGGCTGCCCAGCATGCTGCCTGGCATCCCGGGGGTGCTGGCTCAGAGCCGTGGCACCCAAGGGAGGGCCCCAAGGCAGGCGCAGACAGCAGCGACGTTGAGACAGAGACAAGATTGGGCCTGAAT